GCGATCGTGTTTCATGGTCAATTCATTAGAATAAATTCGAAATTGTTGGACAATGGGATTCTCTTCATCCAGCTGGGCAGCCGGTACTTGGCGCTTCCTGGGCGCATTGTTCCGATGACCAGCACTTCCGTTTTTCGGCATTGTGAACGGCTTACGCAATTTTATTTAAAGGGCTTATTTAAATTTAATGGGTATTCTTTTCAATCGCGTCGGCAAAAATTTCTTGTAAACAAATTTCCGATAATTTAGGTATCGACCGTATCGATAGTTGCCGACAAATATCGCTTATTGATATCGGTGCTGATAACCGAGAAACTTTCGTGGCAAGAATTGGTTAAAAAGGTAAAAACAATTAAATTACAGCCCGAAGGCAATGCATGATCCGGGCAAGAAGTCGGCTCACTTGACCGCCGGTTCCACCAGCACAGCGGAGAAGCTGTGCTTCGACAAGAATGAGTTTATGAAGGTAAGTAATCCATGTCAGATGCGTTCGCTTGCTAAAATTCCTTCGAACAGTCAAACTTCTCGGTGGATGAGTTTCTGCACAAGAACCGAAATGCACCCAGTCTGGAGCAGCTTCGCGACAACCTGGGACTTTATCTCAAAGGTCTGCGGGCGGCCATGATCGATTTGATTAACGAGGATTACGCAGACTTTGTAAACTTGAGCGCAAACCTGGTGGGACTGGACCAGAATATAAAGACCATTCAACAGCCATTGGAGCAGTTCCGCAGCGACATCGAGAGCATTCACGGCTTGATAGATGAGAACGTGGCCGAGCTAAGGGCCCAGCTGGAGGAGAAGCGTCAGCTTCGCGAGTTTAAACGCGGGCTGCAGAGCCTAAAGAAAGTGTATGAGACCATTAACAAGCTTCAGGATCTAATCGACCGAAAGCTCAGTGGAGAACAGCCAGTTAAGGCCGTTGACCTGGAGCGCGCTGCCCTGGACCTAATTCAGTTGAAGTTTCATGAAAAACACTGTTCCAAGCATCTAAGCGCCGAGCATCAAGGGAAGATCCTACAGCTTGAAGGGCAATTGCATCAGCATCTGCGACGTTTCTTCAATGACGCACTTAATCAGGCCCGCAAATCGGCGCCGGAATCCTTGGAGCGCTGCTTACGCATCTACATAACTCTAAATGCCTGTGACCAGGCTGAGAGCGCCTTCCGCGAGGATGTGGTGGCACCGTATATGATGGGCGTCATTGGAGAACAACAGTTGCAAAATTCGCCGCAGGGATTGGCTGGCATCTACAGCAAGATCCTCAACTTTATATCGCTGCATATGACCGATCTGCTACGCCTTACGCTATACTCAGATAAGTTTCCGGGCTTTAACTTCGTGGTTAATAGTTACTGGTCTGATGTGGAGACTCGCCTTGAACTGCACATGAATTCTATATTTGCGCCTGGCAACTCGGAGGTGTTTTATGTAAAATACAAGTGCACTCGCGACTTCCTGGGTAAAATAGAGGAGCTGTTGACCTGTTCCGGGGAGCATGCCGTGACGTTCTATCGCCAGCACAAGCAAACAAAAAACTTCGAGGCCCGCTGGAATCTGCCTGTTTACTTCCAAATATGCTTTCAAGTATGTAAATAAGGTTATAATAGAACATTGGGTTAATGTGTAATGTTTCTAGGAAATTGCGGGTAAATTTGAAGCCCAGCTGGAGCCGGTGCTCCAGGATGACAGTTTAAAAGATAATCTCACCGATAAGGACTACAAAATATCCGCATTTAATGCCGCTAAGGAAGCTATTACAAGGTGTTGGGGCGAGGGAGTTTACCTCCCCGAAGTATTTCCGAAATTTTACAAACTTAATGTACAGATTGTGCTGCGTCTTTCGCGCTGGATCACGGATGCCATTGCTCTATCGAAGGGCAGCAACTTTTCAAAGTCATACACTCGTAACCAGTTTTTAATTGCCCTACATGCAGACATTTGCAAGCTTGACGCGTATCTGCCAGAGCTTCAGCAATTAATTATTAAATCAGTGCCCGTTGAACAGTGTACGAACATCTTTAGTGACGTATTGGCCAAATCGATGTCCTGCCTAGCCGACACGCTAGCTGCGCATTTGACTAACATACAGAAGACCTTGGTGGAGTTGCTGATCGGAGAATGCGAGACGGAAAATGTGCGCCAAGTAAACGACTTGCCGCGATTGTATCGCAAAACGAATCGAGAGGTTCCCACACGAAGTTCGAGCTATGTGGAGCAAATGCTTCGACCGTTGAAAGCTTTTGCCCAGCAGAACGAGTCCCAGCTTGGCACCCTGGTGGTGGAACAGATTTTGTCGGAGGTTGCTAGTCACATAACCAAGGCGTGAGTATAATTATACGGTGGGATAGAACTTCCCTGAACTCTTATTCGCATTATAGGTACTTCAATGTGGTGAGCGATGTGCTCACATCCGTACAGAAAACCGAAGAGTCATTGCGACGCCTGCGAAATGTAAAAAGTGGTGGATCCGCGACTATATCGACTGGAAGCTCGGCTGTGATGTCTGACGATGATAAGATTCGCGTCCAACTGCGAGTGGATGTCACATCCTGGAAGCAGGAGCTCTGTAAACTAAACTTTCAGGCCACCCAGATCGATCGGCTAGTCGAATTGACAAACATGGTGGAGGACAGTATCAAGCTAAAGGATAACAGCGCTTAGACACTAACAACGATCAGTTATTAAACGTATACACTTCTTTTTATTCTTGGTAAACGAATTCTAACGATTCTTTAGGCACAATTATTGATTGTATTAGAACTACGAATTGTATATAATATATATAGGCATATATGTATATCATATATTTAAATGCATTGAATTTCACAATCGTTATTTGTAAATACCGGCGAATAGGACTCTTCCTCGAAGTTATTCGCTGTTGGAATGAAACAGAGAAGAGATTGCGGAAAATTAGCCGACAGAGCTCGTCAAACTGTGGCCACAGAACGGTAAAGATATATAAAGAATATTGCAGAACGGCAGGCAAGGAACCATGCATAACATAACTCAAACTTGCATAGATATATACAGAGATGTTTAGTTGTGTGTATATAAAAATGAGCGGCTCAACGGAAGACAAACAGGATTGCCAGGCTCAAACAAAAAGAAAACTAGGTTTGCTACATTACAGCTTGAGTTCCTCGGTGTCCGGCAGCTTGCGGAAGAACCACTGCACGTGCTCCTCAGTGACATCGGCTAGCTTGGTTGGCTGCCACTGGGGCTTCTGATCTTTGTCGATGAGTAGGGCGCGCACTCCCTCCTTGAAATCACTGCGCTCCAAGTGACGCACGGCCAGACGATACTCCATAATAAGACACTGAGCCAGAGACAGCTGGGATCCGAGCTCTAGTTGTCGGAACGTAACCTTCATCGAGGTGGGAGACATCTTCGAGAGGGTCTAAGGAAAAGAAAGAATCAATAACACTAGTTTACGATATAAAATTCTATGACGTGTTTGATTTTGCTAATAAGGTAAAAATTATAAATTGATATGAAAATTGTGACAAAACAACAAATACGCAAGGCAACAAAAATTCAAAATCTAGATCTAATATATATATATGCAATAATGGCTGGTTTGATTTTATGAACTAGTGTAACTTATATGTTCTAGCTAAGAGAAGTCGTGCTGCAACTAAAGCGTCGCTAATTGGCTGGAAACGGATCAAATATTAAGGCGCTAAAAGCGCGCGCCAAGCGATGATTGGCTCAGCCAATTAACATCCGATTATGTTCTTATCACTTAGTGAACTGTGCACCACTCACCTCAAGCGTTTTCTTGGCCCATTCACTGCCGTCGTTCTGCAGATTCTCTAGAATCCCCTCCACCGAATCCGCCGAAAAGTTCTTGTTGATCTGCTCCAAGACAGGGTCCAGCGAGAAGGGCTTTTCTGGCGTGGAATGAAACTTCTGCAGCAGCTCAGGCACATCATCCGCATCTGGGCAGTTAAGCAGTGCCGTCTCAAGATCGGGGATCTTGCTGCTCTCGCAGTAGTGCGTGGCAATGCCCGAGTAAAAGACATCGCCTCCGCGCAGTCGATATCCAGTAAGACCCAGATAGAGGCCCAACTTTCCCTGCAGTCGAGGCAGGAAGTATGATCCACCCACATCCGGGAAGAGGCCAATCGCCGTCTCGGGCATGGCGAACAGCGTCCGATCGCTGGCCACCCGGTACTTGCCGTGCACACTCAGACCCACGCCACCGCCCATGGTAATACCGTCGATAATGGCGATGTAGGGAATCTTATAGTTTCCGATCAGGGCATTCGTGCTGTACTCCTCCCTGAAGAAGCTCTTCGATTCATCCGTAGGGCCCGCCTCGACCAGGGCACGCACATCTCCACCGGCACAGAAGGCCTTGTCACCTGTGCCCTTGATGATCAGCAGCGACTTGGACTTCTCGCACTTCTTCAGGTGCTTGTAGATTTTACGTACCATCTCCAAGTTGATGGCGTTAAGCGCCTTGGGACGATTCAGAATAATCATCCCCTTATTGGAGGACTCCGTGGCCAGCACGGAGGAGGAGGATTGGCGGATGGAGAGGGCCATTGTAGTTGGTTTTGTGTGGGTTATCGTTGCTGCGCCGATCATCGGCAATTGGCTACAGGTGCGCTGACCGAATGTGTACACCAACCTTTGAATTGGGCCCTGCTGGCCGGAACCAAATTGTTTCTGATTAGCAAAGTGCTTCTATTTGCAGGAATTTGCATTACTTACCATTTTGAGCGGGTGTCAGTGAAGTTGTGTGTGGCGAGGCGAGTGTTTAGAAATTTAGCGTTGCGCAATAGAATTTTAGCACCCGCACAGCTGGTTATTCTTGTCGCGGTGCTGCCAGACCGCCCACATGCCGGAAGTAAACAAGGGTGTTCCAGAAATCATATTCCGCGCAAAATGTTAAATGTCTCTCAACCGGCATTAAGCATAAACAGACTTGCTTCATATTGTTCATTCAAATATTATTTACAACTTGGGATATAAATTTGATCAAAACAGTTAAATTACAAACATTCTATTAGCAAAATTCCTCATTTTTTTAAACTCATTATTAGATTAGCATAAATAAGAACACACCCTACAAACATACTTATAATAGAGCAGATCTGCAGTCTGGCAACACTGAAATTGGCAATTGTACTTCTCGCGAATAAGAATAAGAAAAACAAATTTCGTGTAGTTACTTTATCTTATTTTGTCAACAAATAAACGGTGAGTAAACATTTGTAATTAGCACGCAATCGGTGGTCGGTTGTCAGTTAAGCCAGGACCAGCAAGGGGCTCGCACCGAGATTACCATGCCTCAGTTCTTTAAGTTCCGCAAGCTGCGGACAAAGCGTCATAGTAGCTCATCTACCACTTCCGCCTCTATTTTCATGTCCTCGTCCACGACCACGACCACCAAGCAGATGAACTATGACGGCCTCCTTTCCAAGTTGACCGACGAAAAACTGATGCTCTTCGAAGCTGCCGGCGAGGGCAACATTGTGGAGGGTAGCCGGATATGCGGCCAGGATGCGGATCCGCTATCCTTGCCGCTGGTGGAGGACGGCGCCATCGAGGAGGAGCAGGCGGCCCCCATACAGACGATTCATCGTACCGTATTCGCCGTTCCACGCGCCCCCTCTCCCTCCCCCGTAAGCACTTCCTCTGCGAATCTGAACCTCAAGACGGAAAACGCTGCGACAGCGACTCCGCAGCGCAAAATATCGACGTCATCACGTTTCATGAACGCCTTTAGTCAGCTCTACGGCGGCAGCGGCAGCGGCAACAGCGGTCCGAGCTGCGGTCACGTGGAGCAGCACAGCGAGGAACCTGGTGACCTGTCGGCAAACCGTACTCCCACCAAGGGCATGGAGTCCAAGCTCGTGGCCATGTGGCACAATGTGAAGTATGGCTGGAGCGGCAAGATGAGGCAGACCAGCTTCTCAAAGGAGCAGCCCGTGTGGCTGCTGGGACGGTGCTATCATAGACGCTTTACGCCGCCCGTTAGTATGGAAAGTTCCATCACCGAGCTGCCCAATGGGGCGGATACCACCCCCGATAACGCCACATCGGCGTTCGACAGCATTCAAGCCCCATCGACGTCAGCCTCCTTGTATCCAGCTCTAAATCCCCAGCAGATCGATGAGATTGTGGTGCCCCAGGAACTGGGCATGGACGCAGTGGAGAACCAGGTGGGCGAACAGCCTTGGGAGGAGGGCATTGAAGGCTTTCGTCGTGACTTTTATAGTAGGATTTGGATGACCTACCGGCGAGAGTTCCCAATAATGAATGGCTCCAACTACACCTCTGACTGCGGATGGGGATGTATGCTAAGAAGTGGTCAGATGCTCTTAGCTCAAGGACTCATCTGTCACTTCCTAGGGCGCAGTAAGTTAAATTAGCCCCCACAAATAAATATAATTTCCTTAAAACCTTCTTGCTTCAGGCTGGCGCTATGATTCTGAGTCTCAGTTGCACTCAACTTACGAGGACAATATGCATAAGAAGATTGTCAAGTGGTTTGGCGACAGTTCTTCAAAAAGCAGTCCCTTTTCCATCCACGCTCTGGTGCGGCTTGGGGAGCATCTGGGTAAAAAACCTGGTGATTGGTACGGTCCGGCCTCTGTTTCCTATTTGCTTAAGTGAGTACTTATCTTTATCATATTGTTAAATCTCTATTAAATCTAATAACTCTCTACTTCACCACAGACACGCTTTAGAGCACGCAGCTCAGGAAAATGCAGACTTTGACAATATTAGTGTCTATGTAGCCAAAGATTGCACGAGTAAGTACAAGCAGAAAGGAAACCCCTTTATATAAGATTCATAAGATAACTGGCATGACACATTGATATGTCCATGAGTAATTGCTGCAACCTTGTTCACGAAGCTCATTACTCACTAGCTCAGTTGATAAGGTGTGTGTTTTGATAACCGTGTTGTTGGTGTTTTAGTTTACTTGCAAGATATAGAGGATCAATGCAGCATTCCGGAACCGGCGCCAAAACCCCATGTGCCTTGGCAACAAGCGAAGCGGCCGCAGGCGGAAACTCCTAAAACGGAGCAACAGCAGCACTGGAAGTCCGTCATTGTTCTGATACCTCTGCGCTTGGGCAGTGATAAACTGAATCCTGTGTATGCCCATTGTCTAAAGCTGCTGCTGAGTACAGAACACTGCCTGGGAATCATTGGTGGAAAGCCAAAGCATTCGCTATACTTTGTCGGCTTCCAGGAGGACAGGCTCATCCACTTGGATCCGCACTATTGCCAGGAGATGGTCGATGTAAACCAGGAGAACTTTTCCCTGCACTCGTTTCACTGCAAGTCACCACGGAAGCTAAAGGCCAGCAAAATGGATCCTAGTTGTTGTATCGGATTTTACTGTGCCACCAAGAGTGATTTCGATAGTTTTATGGAGAGCGTTCAGTTGGTAAGCAAAACCGAAGCATTTGGTGTCCCAATTTCCTAATAAATATCTTGACTACAGTATTTGCATCCCATGCGTTGCGCCTCTGGCGCAACTGTGGATAAAGCAGCTGGGAACCATCATACGACGCCTCAATCATCCCATCAAACCGAGCAAACAGAGATGAACTATCCACTGTTCACATTTTCCCGCGGTCGTTGCTTGGATCACGAGCGAGACGAAATGAGCGATTCGCTATACAAGCCGCTCATAAAACAGGTGGCTTCCCTGGCCCAGGAACTGGGCGCACAATTGGCGCCGCCGCAGCATGGCGATGAGAATGAGCAAGATGATAGTGAAAGCGAAGAGTTCGTGCTGCTGTAGATCGTCTCCGCCCCATAACCGTGTTGCTGTGCTAGCTGTGTTATTTGCTCATTATTATTTGATTTAGTTCCCAGCCGCCGTTGCTTGCTTGCTCGCCCAGAAAAACCCAACAGACCCGTATCTCAAACACAAAGACTTTGTTATACCTTTACGCCTACGTATATAGTACATAGACGCATGCATGTATCTTGAATATTTACTGATTTCCACGTTAATCTCTCTTTTGTTCGACCTGTTGTCTCGCATTCTGCCAAAGTTTTTCAGCGTTCTCCATGTTCGAGCAGCCCGATCTGTTTATATGTGTTATATATAAACTTATGTAATTTGCGGTATTATTATTTTAAAATCATGAAACTTTAATGGAATTGAATTATTATACAATGGTGCCAGAATTGTCACCATTCTTTGAAGTGTTTCATGTAGTCCTTAGTTCTAGAGTTTAGTTAATTTATGTAAGTCGTCTTGTAATTGTTCGATCATTATTTAGTTTTAACATTAATTGTATATACCCTCGAGTAAATGAATAAACTATCCTAACTTATACTAAATAAAATTAAGGTATTGTGAGAATTTGCTGATGGGATATGGATGTATGATATAGATACTATATTGCACAGAATTTGCATTAAATTATACTATCTATTTTTAATGTATTTTATAAGTACTTTCGAAATATTCGGAGGCAAGAAATTGAACCGACAACCTCATATTTCGTTTTGGATTATTCCAGCCTAGGAAAAGTACACAGTTCTTATTTCAAAAATTGCAATATTCTCCATACCTCTTATTATTTGGTTGGATCCATATTTGGCGGTGGGAATTAATAGCTTATCTCTGCGTGACCTGGGCCTCTCTCTCCAGGCGTTTCAAGAGCTTGCTGAGATTCTCCCGGGCTGTCGTTGCCCTAGCCGCGCTAATGCTTATTGCAGTCTGATAAGCCTCTATAGCCTCCTGCGTCTTGTCCCAGCGATGATAGAGAACTCCGAGATTTGTGTGATACAAAGTGTTGTGGGGCTCCAGCTCAACAACACGCTTATAGATCGCCTCCGCCTCTGGGTATTGTTTTAATTTGCCAAGAACGTTTGCTCGAATAAATAGGATACTGGCATCGTTGGGTAGGTGTTGCAAAGCCTGATTTGAGATGCGCAGAGCGTCGTCCTGCAACCCCTTATTGTCCAGCATTGTAAGAATGTTAGCCCAGGCTTTCGGCTGGCGGGGATTTAGCGCCACAGCGTGCTGCCAATGATGGAGTGCGTCGGCGAACCGTTTTTGCTCCAGATACAGATTTCCCATGTTGTAGTAGCAGACAGCAAAGTTGGCCCTGTACTTCAGGGCCTTCTCATAACTGGCCAATGCCTTGTCGAACTTTCCCTGAGCCGATTGCACAATGCCGAGATTCATCCAGGCCGCTGGAAATGCAGGATACGCCTGCAACGCCAATCGAATGTATTCCTCTGCAGTTGATAGTTGGCCATGCTCCCGATACAGGTTGCCAAGGTTCATCAGGGCTGACTCATAGTTCGGATACAATTCAATGGCCTTGTGGTAGTGCTGAAAGGCTTTCGTATTGTTTCCCGTATCAGTGGCCAGTCGGGCTATGTTATAGTGTACCTTTGCATTGTCAGGACACACCTGTAGAGCAGACTTGAACAACTGCTCCTCGTTAAGCCAATCGGAAGCTCGCTGTCGAGTCCGTAGCATCATTACGGTATAGAGGAGCATTAAAAAAATACTTAGAGCAGTGCGCCAATTGGTGTTCTCCGTACTGCAGTCGTACCAATATAAAAATCCGTAGATGGACAGCAGGCAAAAACCAATGGAGGGTACATAGAGCGTTCGTTCTGCAATTACAAATCCTACGCAAATGATTCCCGACGCGGGCAGGAACGGAATGATCATTAAGCCCAGAGCTAACATCATTCCGGGCAGGCGACGGAAGTTCATCAGAGCCACCAATACGATGGAGTAGAATCCGATCACGCCCTGCAGCCTCAGATCCCAAATATTGGTCACCAGCTTGACGCAACCCAAAGCCCAGTCATAGCATAGCCAGTGGGGGCACAGCATAAGCCAGATATTCATGACCAGCAGATACTGCTGGGAAAGCCCTCGGGTCAGCACATGCTCATTGTGTGCCACGGGGTTGTCCACTTCCTTAAAGGTAGGTGTCTCGAAGTCCTGCCACCAAAGGCGAGCCGTCAGAAGACCCAAAGTACCCAGCAAGTAGAACAAGTAGCTGATCCGGTTACGCAAAAGACTCCACTGATCCTTGAATCGCAGATGGTAGTAGCCGTTTTGAAAGTAATCCAACAGTACACACGACATGGGGATGGTCACTGCGGACTCCTTGAATAGCATTCCTACAGCGGTTAGCAGCATGATCAGCCCGCCAGTCTGTGGACCGAGTCTCCCGGTGTTGGCCACGGTCAGCAGAAGACACAGCAAGTGAATCATGCCGAACATGAGCTCGGCCCTACCCACCACACCAGAAACCGCCTCCGTGTGAATTGGATGGGCGGCAAATAGTGCCGCGGAGAGGATGGCCCATCTCGCCGTGCTGACTTCCGGAACATAGAGAGAGCGAATCAATCGCCACATGAGCAGCGTGTTGACGCAGTGCAGCAGGAGGTTTAGGAACTTCATGTGGGCGGCACTCAGCCCCAGCAGGGCATACTCGCAGTGGAACATCAGGGTGGTCAGTGGCCGAAACGATTTGTGGGAATCGGAACTGAGCAAGGAAGCACCCCAGAAATCGTGCGTAAAGATCGCCGTCCAGTTGGTGGGCAGTGTGTTGACATCTCGGTTCTTGACAATGGCCACCGTATCGTCAAAGACGAACTTAGCCCCAGTGAGGCCTCCGCATCCGTAGCAGAGCAAACAAATTAGCACTAGGATTGCCTGACAGACCATGCTGTGTAGAGTGGCTTTGTGAACGAGGTCAAGCATCCTGGATTATTTACTAATTAACGTTTAGTCAAGTTTAATTCACTTAATTTGCGAATTTTAATCGGAGTTCTTTTGTATACATTTTTTGTTGTGTTTCTGGCCAAACACCCCCTCACTAAACAGCGATGCCAGATCAGCGATATAAAAAAGTGCAGTTCGGCTAAAAATATGCATCAAAATACATATGGGCTTAAAATCATTTGAAAGTACTCTTAAGAAATCTATAAATGTGTATTATTTGAGAGTATATATACAACAAAATGATATATACCCTTAATAAATGTCCCTTATTTAAAAATAATAGTAGCTAAAAAAACACCGCTAAAAGCTGGCTAGACATTCGCCCGTTAACGCGTGCAACAGCTGACTAAATCTAGATCAAAACAAATCCGATAAAAAATTTGTTGAACTCACAAAGAAAAATTAAGTCCCTGAAAATGTCTGAAGAAATCCTTTTCGATTGCCTGCATGCGGAGATAGTCAATTATTGTCTGGATAGCAATAAGGTAGGAACCCGTGAGACGTGAAAAAACCAGTCATACAACAGATTTTGATTTGGTTTCGTCTATTAGGAGCACGACTTGGCCACTTTGGAGTATATCGGCTTCACCACCGGCTACCGCCTTATCGAGCGGCTCACTCGTGAAGTTTCGCGTTTTAAGGACGAGTTGGAGACAATGAAGTTTATATGCACCGACTTCTGGATGCTCATATATAAGAAGCAAGTGGACAACTTGAGGACGAACAACCACGGAATGTACGTTGTGCAGGATAAGGCGTTTCGCTTTCTGACTCGCATTTCGCCGGGCACCAAGCAGCTGGAGCACGCGCCAAAGTTCGTGGCCTTCACATGCGGACTGGTGCGAGGGGCTCTCAGCAATCTGGGCATCAACAGCACGGTAACGGCCGAAGTGCAAAGCATACCCGCCTGCAAGTTTCACATAGAAGTGAACAGGAACTAATTAGGATGTAAGGCAATGGTTTATTACTACAATTATAGAGATACTACAGACTAGACGAGGCTATCTTTTCGTAGAACGCCACAATGTTGTGGTCAGTCCAGTTAAGGCGTTCTCTTAAGATCCACTGATCGATGGGCAGTTGGGGCTGCGCAGGATTGGGATCTGTGTGGATTCCCAGGGCGGGCAGTGGCCCAATTAATATAAGCCACTTTCCTTGAAACACTTTCAGATAGTCCAGGAATGCTCCGCGATTGTTAAAGTAGCAGAAGAGCAAGGCACATGGATGGGCGTCTCTGCAGCATTTGGCCAATAAATCCGCGTCCAGTTGGCTGGCATCCTCTAAATAGTTAAGCGGTATGAAACTTCGGACGGAGTACTTGCTCTGCCACCAGTTGCGGTCGACCTCCAAGCCAAACATGGAGACTTCCCGACCTCCAGACACAGTCATAAGCCATTCCAAAAGCCCACTGCCGCAGCCTATGCTCAAAATTCGCTGGATGTCGTGCATTGCTAGCAGCTGATTAAAGTAGTCCAAGTCCACTGATGTGGGCCATATCCAGAGCAGCTTGCGCTTGAGCTGTTGGTCCAGGCAATCGCCCAGGGCGAGCAACTTACGCCAGTTGCCCGATGCATTATCAGTTAGGTAATAAATCTCACGCAGAGTCTCGAGTTCCGATCGCTCGTCCATCATATTGAATACTGTTCGTTGCAAATTAAGCGGTCTTGCTGCTTCCGATGGCCGGTGAACTTGGCAGTGACGTCGGCACGCGGAAATATGGCTAGCGGCCAACAAGATTGCTGCAGCTCGCTTCGGTTCGCAGCACCTGACTTATCTCTAATAAATTAGAGGACCCTTTTGAAAAAGGGCCAACTTATTAGAGATAATATCGTCACTTTGTGTTTTCTTCCTTTTGGTACCAATATTTGAAATTCTTGCGCCAGTGCATCTCGCTAAATTTGGAGCTACCTTGTCCCGGGATACGCGGCTGGTGATGCTGCAAGGCGGGTTCTTGTGCATCGGGGCTAGGTTCGCTAGAGTATTCCTCGTTGTCCAGATCCAGGATGATCTTGCGATACAGCTGGACATTTTCCTCTGGCATTACATCTGGCAGAGGCAGGTGCTCTGGGGCAGCTTTCCCTTGCTCCAGCTGCAGATCGGAGAGTTGAGATTGCAGTGGCGTAGTTTTCGGTAACATTACTGGCTCAACGTTGCCCACACTCTGGATCACGCTGTTGTATCGCACAGTCTCAGATGGTCTTTCTTCCGCCATCGTGGTCTCCTGAGCACTGGACCTCTGAACAACTATTTCCACAGTACTGTCAAACGCACAACCAGGATGCATGGATCGCAGATGTCGCAGCATGTTGTCCTTTCGGTTAACCGTAATGTCGCATTGGTTACAGCGGTAGCGTTCTGTAGCCTTGTGTTGCCTTATATGCCGGGACAGAGCATCCGGATCATTGTAGCTCTTGCCGCACAAAGAACAAGACTGACGTTCGCGACTTGAGTGGCGCTTCATGTGTAGCCGAAGCGTGGTTTGTCGCAGAAAGGACTTCTGGCATACTTTGCACTTGTGTCGAATAAAGTTCTTGTCATGTTTCCGAAAATGCTGGTTCAAATTGGCCTTGTTCTGGAAATGCTTAGAGCAGAGCTCGCATTTGAATTGCACACCGAGATCGCTGTGGATCGCCAGGTGGCTTTTAAGAGAGCTCTTGCGGCGGAAAACCTTCTGGCAGATCAGGCACAAATGCTTCTCCTGGCTGTGGGTAAGCATGTGGCGCTGTAGAACAATTGGTTGCTTGAAACTTTTCTGGCAAACGCTGCACGAGTGTTTCGATTGATTATCATGGCTCATGAGATGGTACTTTAAATGCGAACTGGTAGCAAACCTCTGAAAACAAAAATCGCAGTCAAGAACAATACCCATAGTAAAAGTACACAGTGCAACTAACGCGTCCGCACTCCATGCAGCTGAACTTCTTGAGAAGATCGTTGCCGCAGGTGAGGTGGTAATACTGCTGAGTCCGGCTGCGGAAATCCTTGTTACAGACTGTACAGTGGTAGCCCTTATCTGTGACAATAATTCGCTTATCCTCAGATGTCCTTGCTTGCGTTTCCTGCGCCTTCTGGATCTTGGCACTTTCCTGGGCTGCAACTCGACATTCCAGGCAATCCGATACATCCGCCACCAAGCAGAGACGACACTTGGTGTGTCCACAGCTGTCGGTGACGAGACGGTTCTGCCCCGTGGCATCGCAGTTGCAACGAGGACATTTATTCATTGCTAAATTTTAATTGCATTAAAATCGCACGTACAGGAGACTGCACTTGCAGCCTTGCTTCTTCTTTCCCCGCGACATTCAGCACGAAACGTAGACAATATACACGGCTAGAAATACTTTGCATGTATTTTACATCCTTTATATAAAAACTAAGAATAAAGAAGATCCTTTTATACGAGTACTACGAGCTGAGCTATTGTTCGTCCTGCCTATTCGCATACATTTTCTAACTCTAGGTCGGCCACATGACCGGGAAACAAGTGCGCCTTCTGCATGGGCACGTGCACAAAGTAACGCTCACAAAACTTGGGGTTGCGTCGAAACAGGACCTCAGTCAAAATTTGGCCATAGCTGATCTTCTTGGTGATCAACAGCCGCCGGGACTCGCCACTCCCATAGCTAGTGGAACGCAAGCCGAATTGTCTGGCAATCCTGTAAAGGGAAATGCCCACATTATAAGCATTTACTTATTACGATTAAGAATGAATGTGCTTACTGGTGGAGCATAGTCCTTTCTTCCTTCGAAAACGTGGGCTCAAACTGCATATCACGTATGTCGTCCGACCCCACATAGTTTTCTATAAGCCTGCGGTAATCAGCCAAGTTTTTCTGTGGATTTATCAATCCAAGGCCATTACGATTGTTCTTTAGCAGATAACTGAAAATATATACGGGTTTAGTTTCATTTGGCGATAAATTTAAAGCCGAAATCCTACCATACGGGCTCCTCACGGCCTTGCTTCAGGCGCCCTAAGCCACCACCTGTCCAGCCCATCAGCCGCATCATATGATATCCCTTGTTGCTGGCGTCCAATTTTGAATCTAACTGATTGTCGGCGGACTCCTTGGTGACATTGACATTGACGCCGTCCTTGTTTTTCTCCACCTTGATAGTGTCGCGCGATGCATTCAGCTGTAGAACGTCGCAATGGCTTAGATAAGGCATCAATTATTTCAGGACTTTCATACCTTTATACTATAGCAATGGGACTGGAGCGCCAGACACGCCTGCTTATGGGCAGCCATTTTGGCCGCCTTCAGGGTCTCACCTTGTCCTGTCGCTATCACTTCATTATTTACTAATAATTCGGCGTATTTCGTATTATCGCTAACTACCTGATCTAGGCTGGCACGCTCTTCGTATTTGACATTCGCAATATTGCAGGAGTTTTGCAGGCAGTTCCGTCCCCCGGCCAAGTACACAATGAGGTGACCGAAACGTAGATCCTGATAGAGATCGACTGGATCTCCGCCGCCAAAACACTGACGTTCTTTGTGCAAGCTTTCCTTTGAGGAACCCGCCGAGGGAACAGGTGCACCCCGGCGCCCTAGTAGTTGGAATTAGGCATTAGGCTGTGGTGTCTGGCTCGTATAGTTACTAGTGATATAAAGAATCTCCTCCCGCCACTTGGCCCACTAATTGTTTTTCCGTCTACCTTTGGCGCGCTGCTCCGCCGCATCAGATGCCGAGACAAATGTGCGCTTAAGGCGCTGTTCCCGTTTCTGACGGAAATCCGCTGCAATTTCCTTTGACAACTCGGCCACCAACAACATCGTCGCGCTGGGATACTTGCAGCCCATAAACTCCATGTTGACGAACGTTTGGGCCAGGCACACCAGCCGGTCCTCCTCAAAACGATCCTTGTGGGCCAGCATAAAGCTGCGTCGAAGATCCCAGTGCTCATCGCTTTCGTATTCCGTCTTGTAGCTGTCCACATCCCATTCCAAGGAAAATTCTCCGGATCCGTAGCCGGCGTCCTGCTGTTTTTTGGCTTTATTTTTCTTCTGTTTTTGCTGGAGCTCCTCCCCTTCGTTCTCCACTTTCTGACGCTTGGGTTTAACAGACATATTGATAGAATAATCAGTTAGCGTTGAACTTGTCAAATAAATTGGGAACGGGCACGCTTGTTTTTTGATTGCTTTCCCATTCACAGCGAATTATCAATTACCGATTGGCCATGTGTTGCCCATTGCCTATCGATAACGTAGAGATAACGATAGGCCCCCATCACGGCTCAACTTTGTCGTGCGTGTGTGTTTTTAAGTTCCTGCATTTTAATTCATGATTTTCTGGTAACTTAACAACAATTTGGAGAGCGACGCGACGCCCAGGAAGCCAGAAACGAATTGCCAAAGTGTCTCCATAGACGATTGCCCCAAAGTGAGAGATCGGATCAGTCCAAAGCAGCCAACATGAGCATACCCAACGAGTACATAGCAAAAACGGAGGATGTGGCGGAACAGGTAATATATATTAGGTTCAACTGCCGATCAGGTCTCCCAGGACTCCATATCCAACGCAGAGAGCTTCTTCCTGGTGCTTCCCGAATGCGGTTTGCGGGGAAGCCGTGACAGCTGCAGACTCGGAAAACTGCCAACGTCACCCAAACGCGGCAAAGTTCGAGGGTCTTGGCTGCATATAATCACGATCCGTTGACTTGGGGGCTACGTGCTGGGGCATTGGCTTCCAATAAGAATTGGGTGCAACCCAGATGCGTTAGCATTGTACTCCAGTACCGCAATTGCCAGTTGTTGCGTCTGCCGCAAGGAAAACTCTCTCTCGCTGCTTATGTTCAACCTGTGTGCGGATGTGTGTGTGTGAGAGAGCTGTCTCCGCAAGTGAAAGTGTTGAAAAAGAAAGAGCGGACAGCTGGACGCCAACGGCCAGGTCGAGTTCCGTAATAGTCGGGCTAGAAAGCCAGGTGAACTTGCTTGCGATTTACATATATACATGTATTAAATTACATAGACAGCAGGGCCAAAACCCGTTAGCTGGCAGATAGCAATCGAAAGATAGAGCGTTTAGAGACACGTCACAGCCAGCGTGCGATTTCCACCGACTACGCGCAAGCCACGCTCAACGGCATTGTATATTTAAGTCTCTTATCACCTTGTCAGTAGCCCCCTTATCACCATATCTGCACCCGTCCCGGTGGCCCTTAACACAACCATAACCGATTGAACGCTCTTTTTTGCAGGTCATCAAGCGCGGCAAGAATGTGCTGCCCACGGTGGCCCGTTTGTGCCTCATCGCCACGTTCTTTGAGGACGGCCTGCGCATGTACTTCCAATGGAACGAGCAGCGCGAGTACATGGACATGAGCTGGGGCTGCGGCAAGTTCCTGGCCACCGTCTTTGTGCTTGTCAACCTGCTGGGCCAACTGGGCGGCTGCGGCATGGTGATGGCCAGATTCAAGGTCGACATAGCGGTGGGACTGCTCTTCTTCATTGTGGTGCTGCAGGTGAGTCTGCATCCTTGTGTGCCTGAGGAAGAAGCCTTTATGTTAACCCGATCCTCTGTTTGCAGACCGTGGCATACTCCATTCTGTGGGACTTCCAGTTCTTGCTGCGAAACTTTGCACTCATCGGAGCCCTATTGCTCGTCCTGGCGGAAGCTAGAATAGAGGGTCGCAGTCTGTTCGCGGGCGTGCCATCGATGGGCGAGAACAAGCCCAAGAACTTCATGCAGCTGGCTGGCCGCATCCTGCTGGCCTTTATGTTCATCACTTTGATCCGCTTTGAGCTAAGCGTATGGCAAGTTATCCAGGACATCATCGGCTCCATTCTGATGGTGCTGGTCGTGCTGGGATACAAGACGAAACTGTCCGCCCTGATTCTAGTGGCTCTGCTCACGGTCCTGAACCTATACCACAATGCCTGGTGGACCATTCCGTCCTATAAGCCACTCAGGGATTTCTTGAAATACGACTTTTTCCAGGTTAGAAATTAATCATATTTTTGTATGAATTTTGTTAAATTTTCCTATTAATTTGCAGACTCTCTCTGTGATCGGTGGCCTTCTCATGATCGTGTCTTTGGGCCCTGGCGGCGTTTCTATGGACGAGCACAAGAAGAAATGGTAGAGGCCAGGCAATGGTCGCTTCATGCACGAAACTCTTTCAACATTTGACTTTTACCGTGTTTTACTCTTTCCGAGAAATGATAGTTAGGATTTACCATAAAATGGGACAACAACAGGAGCAGCATCAGCAGCAGCACAACACCGGCACGTATAAGAACTTGACAATTTTCAATAAAGGGACTTCCGCAATACCCCTCTCCACTGGCTCACTCATAGGGATCGCCCCACCCCACCACAAATCCATTCGCGCACATTCAACGACAAACTTCGACTACATTTAGGACATTTAATTTTTGTACATAAAGAACAGGCAAGAAATGAGTTTGGTCACTTTCGAGCCCCTCCCAAATGAGAGACACAACTGATTTTCGTATCTACGCTTGTCAATATCCATGTTTTTTGCCGATTTTTTATATGATTTGTACGCTCTTATAAATAAGTTGTAACCTTGGTGTTTGCGTTTTGTTGATTGCTAGAAGTTTGAAAATGAAAACGATGTATAAAATATGATGTACCAATTGACAATGATTTGTTTCTTTCGTTTATAAGCAAAAGTGTAATAGAATTAAATTGTAACGTTTTAATAAACACAAAGATGAAAAACTGAAAACTGTGCATTTCAAACTTGGCGCCAATTGGACGATAAATGGCAAATGCTTTTGTTTGTTTACCAGCACTGAGGCACAGCTGACTCGCAACGTCAACAAAGGGGAATATAATCCTTATCGACTACTGGCTACCCGTTACTTAGTAACCTGCTTATGAATCCGTGTACCACACAAAAGTAGTACGTTAATATTTATGAATATAAATGTAACAACAACAAAATCGATTGAGTAAGAAAGTGATCTGAATCTAAGAGAAAATAGTCAATGTTATAGATTTGACTGAATATAAAACTATAAAGGCAGTGAAAAACATACCCCCCCCATGTTTTTGAACAATTTGAAACAAAATCTATAAATAGAGATGGGTGCATTTCATCAAGTTCAAAATTTTCTTGCAATCTTCGCAGCATCATTTCAAATTAGTTGCAATACCCACTGCATATAAGAAACATATAGGGGCGGAAGCGTTTTCTTCAGCTGGCAACAAACACAATTGCGAGCACAATATACCCATGTATTGTGCAATTACCGGGTACACAAATATCAAAGAGTCGCTGAGCCTGAAATGAGAAATATAGCCAAACACAACGCATTTGTTGTTCGAAGCGTTCGGAACGTGGACGGATTGAGCTCCGCTGGGTAAGAGTTGGTCGTCGCAAATATTGTAGTTACATATGTGCCACTTCTAATCAAAATCTAATGAGTGTTTAGATGTGTAGGCGTGGTATAGTAAATCAAAATAGCAACCTCTGCTCCAATAATATTATGGGTGAATTGCCAGATATATGTTAACGTAAGCAAAAGTGAGTTATAAACTAGTTTGGAACACGCACGCTTGGCGCTCTCACTTCTGCAGGCACGAGCGGTGGTACAGGCAAACCTCTTGAGAACGGAAGTGGTATGAAGAAAGTCAAACTTCATTTATGTACATGTGCATATATCCGCCTCTATAAATACACCATAGCTGAACCAAAATTGCATTCTTCGAACGCATGCACCTCTTGCTGTGCTGTCTGTTTTGGTTCTAGGTTCAGATATTGGTTCAGTTATTCGTCTGGGGAGCTGACTTCACCTGTGTCAGCGGTATTTTCTTACCTGGGCGGTTGACAAATGTTTTGGGGCTAATGAAACGCGATAAGGTTGATCCGAGTGCTAACAACCCGCTGCCGTGCTAAAGTTAATCGTGCAATTGTTTATTGCTAAATGGCACTCGTTTTTTCTCTTGCAGGAACCGCCTTCTCCACATCAACAGCCTTTTGAACCACATTCCAGTTGGGATTCGCTTCGGCCCAGCTTTGTAAAACAATGAAATATTTTGGCGGAGTCGAAGGGTATGTAGAAAGGTCACCAATCGATTTGCAATTCAATAGCCAAACGCGATGATTAATGAACGTGATTAAGCGCAGGGTGTTATACCCCGATCTGCCAGATATCAGCTACGGGAAGTACTTCAAACTATTCCCCAGCTTTTGTTGATAAGCACAATGGTTTAATGATAACAGTCAAAGGTACAGAATGTGTTTAGCCTAGGCCTTGATGAATTTGACCAGCTTCGTCTCCGGTATTCGTTTGTTTCGCGTGATCAGCTCCTGGTGGTCCATGAATGGCCGCAGAACGGCAGGTATCTCGATGCCATCTTCCCGCTGATAGGATTCCAGCAGGGCAATCAGCAGACGCGGAATAGCCGTCGCAGTTCCGTTGATGGTGTGGGCATGGAGAATCTGACCGTCAACGGAACGGCGGTATCTGATGCCCAGCCGCCTGGCTTGATAATCCGTGCAGTTGCTGCAACTTGAGATCTCGCCCCACATCTGGCGCCCTGGCATCCAGGCTTCGATGTCGTATTTCTGATACGCCGGAGCGCCCAGCTCGCAAGGCGGCATGTCCAGCAGCCGAAAGTTGAGGCCCAGCCGCCGGAACAGATCCACCTCAATATTCTTAAACTCCTCTAGCTCGGCCTCCGACTGCTCTTCAGTGCAGATGGCAAACATTTCCACCTTGTTGAACTGATGCACACGATAAATGCCTTTCTCCTCCTGCAATCCCGATGTTTCAGCCCGATAGCATCGACTCACGGCGGTCACTTTCAGGGGCAGCTGCTCCTCCGACAGTAATTTATTCGCAAAAAATCCTGCCAGTGCCATTTCCGAAGTGCCCGATAGGCACTCGCCGGTGTCCAGTTTGTAGACCTGAGTGCGTTCACCCTCGGTGCGCATGCCACAAGATTCGATCACCTCCTTGGGCAGTATGTCGGGTACGGAGATCAGTTTGAAACCGTGGTCGGTGACCGCCTGAAGTGCATATTGTATGATGGCCTGCTCCAAAGTAGCCAGTTGGCCGGTCAAGTAGTAGCTTTTATGCCCCGTGTAGTTCCCCAAGTGATCCATGCGGTATAGGTTAAGAGCACGGGCCAATTCCGAGAACTCCTTCAGGGTGGACTGTGGTGGCAACTCTCGGTGGACATACTGCGCCAGTTCCCGCGGCTCCTCGCCGTAGTCTTGCAGGCGCGGATGCGTTGCATTGGGCAGCTGTTCCAGTTCCGCCTGGAGCTGACTTAGTTTGCGCTGGTCTCCAGCCTCCAATTCCTGGATGAGAGAGCGGATCAGTGGCATGTTGTTCTTGTGATGGCGCACAACCACATTCCGCTCCAGTTCGTCCAGCTGGGCACTGGTTGGAACCGGTCTGAGTTTTGGAGTCACCGCCGCCTTTGCGTCATGCGACCTATGGCGGCGCAGCAGCAGCAGATGCCAAAGTCGAGAATTCGTCGGCAATTTCATATCAATTAGCGTGCTTCTTTGTGGCACGCCAGCGGTCGCGGGTTGAGGATCACTTTCATTCACTTTTTAGTGAAAACATTTAATGTTTTTGCGCACAATTTGATAATTATATTCCGCACAACCGCACATAACAAATTGTAAAAGCCGCTAACATTCTGTTAACATTCGATTATTTATCGAAGTCTTCATTGTTTGATGTGTTAACGTTACGCTCGCTGTTACGTACGCTACGCAACTTCCAATCCTTATTTTGAATTGGCCCACCGAGATATTTTTATGACCGAAGTAAATTGAAAGAAAGTTAAAAATAGTTAAGCAGCAATAACAAACGTCTTTTGTTGTGGCCACTTTGCGTGGTCTATCAAATAATTTCCTCAATTGAGCGTATTAAGCAGTGCACTTTCCTCACGTCACGTCACGTCTTTTCTGACACTGGTTGTCAGTGTGCAGTATAACGGTAATTTCAAGCCCGTATGAGTTTCTTTTATAGGAACGTAAACTGTCTGTATGCTTCTCCAATTGGATTTCTTTGAATTGTTGAAAGCACTGAAACAAATTTAAAATATAATGTTTCAATTTTTAAAATACGTGTTTTTAATTTGCGATAGGAATGTGTAAGGGTTTTAGTCTTGAGTTCTAAGATTCTACATAACATAAGATACGATAACAATCTTGGCTAACAAAAATGCTTGCGTTTCTATTAGCTCTAAGCCGATAAATTTTTCTCCGTGTACTTATGGCCTCAGTTTTATTGGGATCTATGGGTTGTCGAATAGAATTGGTGCGTGTGACACGTTTTCCCTAAATGAATTTGTCAATTGCGTGGTTCTTCAACTCCAATTAGCCGTCACCAGATCGGTTAATTTAATTTCATTCAATAGCGGTATTGTCCGCGGTCACGGCCCCAACGGACGTACAACACCCATTGTATAATGATGAAGACAGCCCGGAAATAGAAACCATCTGCTTTGTCTCCTGCAGCGGAGCCACCCACTCCCGGCTGGTCATCTGCGATGAGAGCGGCCAATCCGTGGGCGCCACCAGCGGCCTGGGCACCAATCACTGGGGCATCGGCATTCCGGAGTGCGCCCGCCGCATCGCGGATATGGTGGAGCGGGCGAAGGAGGAGGCAGGCATTCCCAGGGACACACCCCTCACCAGTCTGGGATTGAGCCTCAGCGGCTGCGAGCAGGTCAGTGATTACAACTCATTAACTACTTGCAGAAATTAGATATTTTAAATAATTTTTTACACACATACATCAATACCACTCACTCCTTACAGGAGGCCACCAATCGCGAGCTGGAGCAGGAGCTGCGCACCACGTTTCCGGATCTGGCCCAGAGCTATGCGGTGTCCAGCGACACTATGGGCAGCATGTACACCGCCTCATCCATCGGAGGAATGGTTCTTATTTCAGGAACTGGATCCAATTGCCTGCTGCGAAACCCTGATGGCTCCACGTCCAATTGCGGCGGCTGGGGCAACTTCCTCGGCGACGAGGGAAGCGGTAAGTGGGGAGCACAAACCGGGGGGCCTTATCAACTAACGCTCTACTAATGCCTGGCCCAATGTTGAGATTAACGGCTGCATCTCCGATTAGAATTGCCTGATAGCGTTGATTGCCATTGACTCATTGCCGCTTTTGTTGTGCTTCATTTTGCAATCACCATACTGACCCCCAACCCTTCTATTTTCCAGCCTGGTACATCTCGTATCGCGCAGTCAAGGTGGTGTTCGACCACATGGACAACTTTGAACAGTCAGCGGCTCCCGTGGAGAAGACTTGGGCTTTGATCAAGGAACACTTCAGTCTGGAGACGCGCTTGGATATGCTGCCCCACTGCTACGCCAAGTTCGACAAGCCCTTCTTCGCCAATTTGTGCAAGAAGCTGTCGCAGAACGCCGAAAGTGGAGACGAGCTGGCGCGCGGCTTGTTTCGCGAGGCCGGTGTCCACCTGGCCAGGATGATCCTTGCCCTGCTGCCCAATGTGCACCAGGATCTGGTCAAGTCCGGGGACCTAAGCGTAGTCTGCGTGGGATCGGTGTGGTCCAGTTGGGATCTGCTGCAGGAGGCCTTCATCAGTGAACTCTCAAAGACAAGCATCGACTTCAACCTCAAGCTGGTGCGCATCACCAAGAGCAGTGCCTACGGAGCCTGCTACCTGGGTGCGGATAGTGCGAACTTCGATCTTCCGAGAAACTATGCCGACAACGTCACAGTTCTCTACACGTACACCGATCCTCGAAAGAAAGCCAAGGCCACCAACGGCGTAGCTGCTAGCTGAGTTGTGGTAGACAACGCATTCCGAAATACACTTCCCAATTGCCAAATTGACAATTAATATTCCAGTTAGTGGTACGGATAGATAGTATTATAGCTTATCATGAAATAAATAATGTTATCTTTTGACGAAATCCTCTGAAAAGTAATGCTTTCCTTTCAATCTTGCTCAAAGCACACCTCTACTTCCTCGTCGTCTTTTAAAATATGTGTCCCATTGTGTGGGTTTGTTAGAAATACGTATGAAAATTTTATTCGATAATGTTCATTGTATTAATTGCATGTGTCTCAATGCTGGCTGTCGTGGCTTCTTTGCATACACTGTGCGGCATCTTTTTTGTAATACTTTGATTGTGTTTAAAGCCAATTTGTTTTTATTTCGCCGTGCTGTCATCAATTCTTTGGCTAATTTGATTCTCAAATCGGGAAGCAGAACATAAATGTATCTGTTTGTAGCGAAGGAATACATAGGCCAAAAACATAATATCTTAGGGAGCTTAGAATAGAGTATTTGGGATAATGTACGAGTAGTTGAATCGAATTACATCTATATATGTATAATTGCTTGGATAAAACATTTAACGTACTGTAAGATTGAATGCGACATACCAAAAGAGATTTTCAATAAAATCGAATTCAAATAGAACCAAGACCGCCACTTTGACTAAATGAACTGTCAAAACTCAGGCAGTATAGCCAAGAACTTGGCTTTTCGGCTTCTACGTCGCTGCTTCGCTGGGGACTAATGCAACTGCGATTAAGTATAACCTATTTGTATGCGATTAGCTTAAATGCATCCCTTTCCAGGGGACCTCAATTGTTTATGCTCTGCCGCAGCTTCTGGGGATCCTGGTAGTGCGACGAGGACGATATGACCGAGGGATGCTGGGGCGGTGGAAAACACCGCACGTGCTCCACATTTGAGCCCTCGCCATCGCCGCCTTTTAGATATTTGTTGAGAATGGAGAAGATTTGTGAATTTAATACTTGGAACCGACGAATCCGATCCACCATTCGCTTCAATTGCTGTAAAGATATATTCGAATTAGGGTTCGATATTTGGTAGTTATGACAAAAGTGTTGCAACTTACAATGCCCTTCACGTCCTCATCCTTGCCATCAACGCGCTGTACCCGCAGAATGTGGTAACAAAAGTCCAAAGCCTCGAAACGCCGTTGCTGGCCCAGCAGTACAATCATGACGCAGCCAGCCCAGTTCAGACCTTCGCCGAAGAGCTCCTCGATGGTATACTCCGTGCCCCTTACTGGAATGCAATAAACGAACTGCAGTGCCGACCAAAGGCGGTGGAACTCCGAGCACTCGTCCACGTGGATAATCCCGTTGGCCGGTGGAGGACCACACCACACCGGATCGTCCAAATAGCTCTTCACGCGGTTAAGAATAACCTCGAAAATGCTGAGACCGCAGCAGAGACGCTCACGAGTCAACAAATCTCCCTCTCGTGCTATCATCGCTTGCTGTTGGTAAAGTCGAGTTACAAAGTTTCTTAATAAAATATTCTAAAGGTTCACCTTCGCAGTGCCGATCTTTTCCACGTTTGAAACTATCTGCAGATTGGCAAACTGAGCTTCGAGACGCTTTTGCTTAGCCTCCGGTTTTTCATTTTCTGAAAGGTGGAGTAAGTAGGTTAGTAACAAGAACTACTTTATGTAAGCGTCCACCTTTACATACCTTTGCAAAAAGGTCTGGGGAAAATGTTCTGGAAGAGGGCAGCGTGCAGTAGATCGCACACCTCCTCCTGCGAGAGCGCCTGTTCGATAAGCAAGCAAAAGATAATGCTGTTGCCAAACTCCCGGAAAGACTGGAACAGCTCTGTCTTCGCGTCCGGATATTGCACGATGTCTGTAAGATGGGCCTGATAGTAACTGAGCACTCCAGGCGAACCATACTCGCAACGGGGTAGTTTGCACGACTTGGGCATGGCAATCATCAGCGTCTTGGTGAACTGCAGCAGAGAGCCCTGGATCAGTGGCTTAACAATGTCCTTCAGTATTATGTCCATGACGACTGCTATGCCCTGATAGCCTAGCAGGCGGCACATCGCATGGAAATGCGGTGATCCGACAAAGCCAGTGTACTGACCATACTGTGTGGAATAGGCAGCATTCAGCTGCTTGGAACCCCACAGATAGTAGTGGGACATTTGTGGCGGCTTTTCACGTTGTATAGCCTGTGACGACGAAAGATTCACTTTGGTTCGAATAAAACTGAAAGAGATAATAGTAATAAGTGTTTTTGCCAATAGAAAATAGGAAGCACACTTACCGATTTGTGGCTGCATTATAACAGTAATTGACCAGGAAGTCGTAGTTCAATTCCACAAAGACGTGCAGTGTTATTCTGCCGTAAGGCGCCAGTACGTTGTGGTTAGCCTCCTTGACCATGCCGTCAAAGTTATCCAGAGCCAAGTATTTGCTTAGCAACTTGTGGCAAATTCGATTTGCCTCCAGTAGACCTTCAAGTTCCTGAAATCAAACGTGTTAGGGACTGATTCTGGCCATTTCCACGGTTCCGGTTCCCCTTACCACAATGCCGGTAATATCGTTGCCTTCGAAGCGGCTGATGGCCAACTCAATGCTCTTGTGCATGTTGGCATTTATGCGTTGTGTGATCAATTTGTTCAAGTCAATAGAACGGCCTTAAAAAAAAATAAACAATTAACCAAAAGTTCATAGGCAATGGGTGTTTTGCTTACCCAAGAGTTGGACATGTCGTTGTTTTAACAAGGTCTCATAACGATTATTGCGGGGATACGACTGGAAGTTGAAACCGAGTACCTCGCACTCCAATCGGAAACGTTTGTCCAGGAAGATGCTGCCCGCTAATTGCTTGTAATGTGCGAAAATCTGCTCGCTGAGCTTGTAGACAAACTGGTCGAAGCACAGATTGACTTCGGCCTCCACTTCGTCGTACAGGAACTGCTTTCGGAAGACAGTGAGGGCGTAGTACGCCGAGTCGTTGTACAAGTCCAGGGGATACAAGACAAATCTGTAAAAGGCACATAGTTAGTGCAAATCAGATCATTTGTTTGCCAGATACTTACTCCATCATTGAGGGCTCTTTTGTTTGCAGAATGTGGTCGGTAAGGATCCAGGGCATGGACATCTCAATTGGAAACTGAATTCGCTTCTCCATGGTGATCAGATCCTTGCATTCCTCGTTGTGCTGATGTCGCACCAAGCACTTGTTAACCTTACGACCCATAGTCATCTCCAAGTAGAACTCGCGGTACCACAACTGCGAGAGATCGCAGCACTTCTGAAGCGTGTCGCTGAAGTTGAGCAGGTAGCTCCAATAGAATGATGTCTTGTGGAACGTGTCGATCTGAAGCAAGCAGTTTCCATCGATGTCCTTGCGCAAAGTGCGCTTGCCACCGCTTTTGTCGGCGATCAAAGACTCCAGCATGGTGCGCACCATGTATAGCTGCGTGGAAGAGGGTCCCACATTGAGACGCGGCACCTGGATGCGGAAACCGCCGTCGGGATCCTTTTTGCCCTTCGCCACTGGATCGTCGGTGGGCTCATAGCCCTTCTGCCAGTCCGCCGACGTCTCTCGCACCGACATGATTATGCTCCGGATAAGATCCTTCTTGTTCTTTACGGCCTTGCGCAGCGGTTCACGAAGCGAAAGCTGCACAAAGTCCTGCAGCTCGGAGTAGATGTTACGCCGTATAGCCTCGCACAACACGGTCTCAATGCGCGCCATCAGCACCTGCAGTCCCTTTATCATGGCAATCACCTCGATGAGCGCGAACTTCTCTTCCGAGGTGTAATTGTAGCGCGTGGCCCGCTCGTACTCCTCAGCCTCAACGGGGCACTCCTTGTTCTGGTGATGATCAGTGGGATGCAGTAGCTTCCAGGAGTACAGCTCAGTGACCACACTGGTCCACTCAGACAGCAACTGCAGGCCGCGCAGAGCCAGGTCGGCCGTAATCCGGTTCTCGGCATCAGAGGGATTCTCCTTGACGGTGGTGGTCACCTCGTTTGTGTACCGCGCCAGCTCCGAAATGTACTTGACGTGATCCTCCCGTATCTGCGGCAGGTGCACCATTAAATCCGCCTGTGGGCTGATGGCGTTTGAACTGGACAGCGGCCACTTGCTGGAATCGAAGTGCTTGCTGCGCTTTATGTAGTTAAAGGGAGCAATCTGCATGTCGCCGAACAGAGGCACCACCTCCAGGTTTTTAAAGATGCGATCGATGCGATCCAGGCGGATCTTCTTCTTTTGATCGAGTTTGTTGATATTGCACGCGTCGCTGTCCATTAGGAACAGGCCAAAGCCCATAACCTTGACCAGCATGTGCTTCTCCTCGGGGGTCAAGTACATCTTTGTCTCGAACATGTGAACGCAAATGTTGACCACATCAGAGAGCAGATCCTCGTAGCCAACGATCTTCTCCAGCGTGTCCTTGACCGTGTCGCGAATTTTGTTCTGCGTGGCCAGGAACATGGATAGATTCTGCGACTCCTGCAGGGTGTGCGAGTCCGACATCACCTTGAGGAACTGCGCAGCTCGCCTGTACGTGGAGTAATCGTTCTTCACGCTGGACTTCATGTTCTTCAATTCGTCTAGGACGGCGAACATGTTGATGAACTTGCCCAGGGTCAGCAGGTACGCTTCGGACACGAAGTCCTTGCGCTTCTCGGCGTGGCACAAGCGCTTTACCTCGCCGGAAAAGGCCTCGATGGCCTTGCGCTGGAAGTACATGAAGTTGAGCAGCTTGTTCACCTCCGGGGCCAGCACCTCCACCGTCTTCTCGTAGATCTCCACTCGATTGGGCTGCTCGTTGGACTTGGGCTGCGGGATGGCGCGCGAGCAGCAGCGCCAGGTGTAGAGCATTACAGCGTGCTTCTGCCCCTCATCCAGGAGCACATTCTGCGGGCGGAGAGGGAGAGAGAGGCAGGGAGAGAAGCGGGCAACTGTGAGTAATGCTATAATGCAGATAAGCCGGATGAGCTAACTCACCAAGTTGGCATGGGTGGTAGCCTCCTCGATGTACTTGGCAATGCCAGTGACAAATCCATTGCGATCCTCGAAGTTCGTGTCGAAGTTTGCCTTGTAGATAATCGAGCAGGGCTGCGCCTCGATGCACGGCTGCTCGTCCGGCAGGGAGAGCTCGTCCAACACCTCCACATTGGACAGCGCGTCGGCTAGCGTAATCTTCTCCGTCATGCTGGGCTGCTTATCATGCTCCAGCAGCTCGAAATGGGTAAATTTTAACAAGGCGGGGCCCCAATCCAATCGACACAAATTTTTTTCGCCACAAATACAACACGACTCTGGCCATTCGCAGTGGTGCGCAGACAGGCGGGCATAATTAGCACATTTCTGCATGCGGTTGGAGTCTCCGCTATACACACTGCACGCTGGCTGCCCATCGCTAACTTCGATATTTAATCGCTGAATCGATAAAAACGCGCGCCTTGCCGATACATCACATCAACACATCACTAGCGTCTGTGGTTCCGTTTCGTTCTGCCGAACTAAATTCCTCTTTTTTGAATTGTATTTTCCGCTGAGAGTAGTCCACAATCCTGCAAGATGTCGATGTTTTGGGGTAAGTCGAACTGCTTTTATTTGCCAACTTGCCAACGGGCTGGCTATGCCACACAGCTGTGGGCTCATCCGCGCTTCTATCGCCGCCACGTGCTTGCCGCTTGATTTGCCGGCAGCGTGGAGCGGCGCCATTTGCATGCCCAAGTAAACCATGTTTTTGACCAATTGTGTCCTCGTCCAGGTTTGAACATGAAGCCTGAGCGCAAGTACTCGCAGACCATCATCAAATCATTCCATATATCGGGCGTGGCACTCGACAAGGGCCAGGAGGCGAAGTTATACCTCGCTGCCGAGAAGCAGGAGTACATTGTGGCCACCGTGACCAAGGCCATTCCACAGGTGGCGCTAGACCTTAACTTCAGCAAGGGCGATCGCATTATGTTCTACACCGCCGGTAAGTCCTCATATGTCCACCTGGACATTTCTGACGTTTCTGTCCGTTTCTGACGTTCTTATCCGTTTCACAGGCGACGCCAGCGTTTCTCTGCTGGGCTACTTGCACGACATTGATTCCGAAGATGAGGATGACGATGAGTTCACGCTCAAGGAATTGCTAAAAGCCAAGGGTGGCAAGAAAAGCAAAAAGTCTGAAGATGAGGATGAGGATGAGAGCGGTGAGGAGGAGGAGGAAGATTCTGATGACGATAGCCAGATTGAATACGACCCCTTCCTCGAAAATGGTGAGGAGGATGATGACGACGACGATGAGGAGGATGAGGATGAGAACGAGGAGAGTGGGGAGGAGGAGGAAGACAGCGACGACTCCGATGATGCAGAGGAACAGCCAAAGGCCAAGGTTGCCAAGCTCTCTCCGGGCGCCAGCGCCAAGAAATCTGGCAAGGAGCAGAATGGTGTGGTCAAGAAGGAGGAGGCCAAACAGCAGCCAAAGAAGAAGGAGAAGCCAGAGGCCAAGAAGGAGCAACCGAAGGCAAAGGAGCCAGCCAAGCAGCAATCGGCTTCCAAGGAGCCGCGCACCATCACCGGAGGCGTGAAGGTTGTGGATCAGGTCGTCGGCAAGGGCGAGGAGGCCAAGTCGGGCAAACGCGTATCCATGTACTACATCGGCCGGCTGCAGTCGAACAACAAGACCTTCGACAGCCTGCTGAAGGGAAAGCCATTCAAGTTCACCCTGGGCGGCGGAGAGGTCATCAAGGGCTGGGACGTGGGTGTCCCCGGTATGAAGGTGGGCGGCAAGCGAGTGATTACCTGCCCGCCGCACATGGCATACGGCGCACGCGGGGCTCCACCCAAGATAGGCCCGAACTCCACTCTCGTTTTTGAAGTGGAACTGAAGGCTGTGCATTAGTGCACTATATTAACTTCATATAGACTCGTAATCATAAGTAAGTATCCGCGTCGTACAACTTGATAAAATGTTAAATAAACTATGTTTTCCGGCTGTTCATAAAGAGTTTTGTAACAATCGCATTTATTTGGTCTATGGTCTATGTGCACTTTTCGGGTGCTCCTACATCCAGCAGGGGTTCAGACTGCAGTTTCCAGTGCTCGAGGACGTAAGGCAGCCGTTCGCTGGGATCTGTGCTCCAGTGATGCAGGCGACACTTGAGTCGCGCCTGTTCCAGCTTGTTTATAGTCACGGTGCAATAGAAGTCCTTGCTCTCCTTCTTCAGGTCGGGTCCCTCGATGCGCTCCTTAGGCAGAGTGATGCACTCCTCGCGACAATGGAACCCAGCCTTGCGCAGCGAGGCCTTGATGTGCCAGGGCTCCAGCACCCATGGCTCATCCTTGTTCATCACCACCGCTAGCACAATGGACTCCAGCATGTTGACCGTGCGCTGGGCGTAGGCGGAGCTATGCTTAATAGACGATTTTTCAGCCTCTGTCTTGGAGTACTTGGCCACATTCTCCGGCGTATTGTACGCGGCCAAACCAGGCAGCAGGAGCTTATTGTAGACAAAGTGCGGCTTCAAGGACACCACGTCACCCTTGTCGCCAACGCCCTCGACGAAGGTTTTCAGCACCACCTGCATGTTGGGTCGCTTTTTGACCAGTGTGTCTTCCACGAGCTCGTAGATGAAGTTCTTGGCCCTCATCCGTCGGGGTTTCTCGTTGGTTTTGTGCAGCGGCGGGTCATATTTGCGCTTCAGTACGAACGTGGTCTGGAAGTGATTGGGTGGTGAATGGGGATCGCTTCATTAACCCAGAAGAGCACTTACCCGCACTTGCTGTTGCAAGCTGGTGGCCGATTTAAGCAAATTTAACGGCGTTACGTAGATGTTCTTCAGCATTTTTAACACCAATATGTTTGCGTTGCCAGACTACACATCAAGTTGCAGAGTTGCCAGACGTGATTAATTAATCTGGGCGAACTTGGATGTAAATTTTTCAGCGATTTCAAAAACGATTTTAATTTTATTTCATCAATAATAAAAATTTTTTAATTTGGTTTTTTTATTTCAATAAAACTAAATTTTTTTATGTACACTTAATTTGGCATATATAATTTTCGTACGTTAGAAAGTATTATGACTGTCAATTTGCAATTTCATAGTTCTATTACTCAACTAGTAAAACTAGATATTCAAGTTACAAAATAAAATTCCAAGAAACTACTAAATCACTGTTTTTGTGACCAATCGCACACGAGTTAAAGCAGTTTTGAAACGAAATCCGATGGGCGAGTTTATTTACAAGAGGACACTTTGCAATCAGGACTCAATTGTGTTTTGGATCCAATCCACGTACTTGCCCACCAGTGTGTACACTCCTGGCCATCCGGCCAGACCGCACGGGGTCGGTCCAAAGGACACCACGCCCGCCAAGAAGTAGTAGGTGTTCACCTTGTTGGTGTCCAGGCCGATGAGCGGGCCACCGGAGTCGCCGCGACAGGAGTCGACACCCTCCTTGCCACCGGCACACATCTGTGTGTCCTCGAGGAGAATGTTTTGGCTGCTGTAGACGTTCTGGCACTCGTCCATTCGGAATCCCTCCACGGCTGCCTTCAGCTTGAGGTTGCTGGCCGACAGCTGCTCCGTTTTACCCCAGCCAGCCACGTCCATGGTGATGCCATCGAAGGTGGCCGACCGCAGATTGACGTCCAGGGGCAGGCAAATGGGACGCACAAAGTCGGTGTACTCCACCTGCTGGGCCAGACGTAGCAGGGCGATGTCGTTGACCTGGTTCTTGGAGGCCGGTATATAGTCGGGATGGGGTATAGTGCGCTCCACGGGCACGTCCAGATGCGGCGGCGCGCAGTCCTTCATGCCGCGCACATCCACTTCGCAATCGGGATTAGTGTTGGTGTCCCACTCGCCCAGACGGACACCCGACAACCGCCAGTCGGTGGGAAGCGACTTACCATTGACGCAATGAGAGGCCGTGATCACATATCGCGTACTGATCAAGGAACCGCCGCAATGATGACCTTTTTTGCCCTGGGCTGCATGTACATATGTAGGGATTAACCAGTGGGTAAGTGCGTTCAGATTGAAGAGGATTGCCCTGTACTCACCCTTGGTGTATTCAATTAGAGCCATCCAGGGGAACTCGTCGATCTTGGTCTTCATTCCGCCGTAGATGCGATTGGACAGGATGTTGCCGCATTGTCCTGGCTGCGGCAGCAGGCTGTTGCTGGTTACATTACGCTTGGGCGGCGGAGGCGTCTCCGATGCGCTTTCCCTGTAGCGGTCCGGACAGCAGATGAGCACTTTGCCGTTGGTATAGCCGCATTGGCTGCGACTCAGGTAAAGCCGGTCGGTGTCCCGGAGCGGAGTGGTGGTCAGGAGCCCGTAAAGGTACTTGCAATCCTCTAGGTGGATGCACAGCGCCCGCTCCCGGTTTGGCGTTATGCAGCGCCCATAGTTGGGCACCTGGGCCGCCTCGTTGGGGAAGTAGAACTCTGGAAGTCCAGACTTTAGGTCAGAGAGCTTACCAATATTGTGAATAAATTGTAATAAATTAGGTCATCATTAGCTGTGGAAGTACGGAAACAGGTTTCCAGCGACTTGTGAAGGCCCGCGGCAAAACAAATATGCTAAGCTTGTCATGTCCAGCAGCAGTGAATCTTGGCAATATTCTATTTACTTACGGCCCGCCGATGATTTCGTCAAAATGCCCAATAAGAGGCAAACAATTGATGGCCTTAGCATTGTTTTTACGCAAGCGCACCTCGTTAGTCCTTTCTCAAGACGTCGTCAGTGGTTTTATGATAATGTTGTGTGCACTGCAATATTATAGGCCGCAGAAGTAGTTATCAAAATAAACGGCACGATAATATGGACGATGGACCGACCGATACTGCAGCGGAGTTCCCACGGATCGGAGCGGAGTAAAGCGAAGAGGCCGAAGCTGAGCTTGGCGCACAACTGAATCTTCGGACACGCTGCTCAGCCCGCGAGCTTTGTCGTAAGCTTTTGGTGAGTCTCCACATCAGATACGGATAATCGTGGGAGCAGATCTTTATCTTTCCAGGTGGATTAATTTGTTAATAATAGAATACTTTTTACTCAACATTTATTCAATTGTTTTGCGTTCTTAGAGTAAAGTACTTGGCCAGCTCGAAGGACTATCTTTTATTATTGAATACCTGCCAGAGATTAGTTGTATAATGTAGTGTTTTGGCAGCAAATCGCACCTTTAATAATGATCAGCTAAACTGGTTATTGGGTTATACAGCCAACTGAGAATTATACCGACCTAAAAAAGCATTTCAATCAAGGCTTAAAGTTGCAGTTCAAATTGCAGCGCTCGCGTTGCCAACCAACGCAGTATGACCGAATTTATGAAGTTCTTGCCACTGTTGGGCAACTCGCATATAGCGGTACGCCGCAGCTGCTGAATAGTTTAATGTTTAAAGTAAAAAATGAAGTGGTAATTCAGTAAGATACCAATAGGCGGCAAATCTGGAGCTCGGCGTTGGTCCACGCAGTACGTCGCTGCGGTTTAAAGTACAGTGAGTGATGCACGTGCAGAAACAAAGCGATGCAAGTCACAAAAGTCTGGTTCAATATTTGCAGCTTATTATTTATTCAAAATGCGCTTTGTGCGGCGGGGAACTGTGCCCAAGATTGCAGCATGTTGCGGCGTGGTGCTCCTGATGGTCACCTGGTACGCATTGAACTTGGAGCGGGATTTGGATAAGAGCCTCAAGATGTAAGTATGCCTGGTTGTGAATCATAGCGGCGTGCGTTATTGATTGCGCGATGTTTGCCCATGCATATGTGTACATGCTTGTGATAAAGCCTATTTATCGTTGCAATTTAATTAATTTTGAATTGAAGCGAAATAATCGAGCGCTCCATAAGATCGGCGGTGAATCGTGGGGAGTGCCGGCATCCCCATCTGCCGCTGGACAATCCGGATATCATGAAGTTCTACAAGCCGGTGGAGCGAATCAACTGCGGCGAGGGCATGGACTGGGTTATGTGCGAGGTTGGTTAGGATTGGGGACCTGCTATGGGATCAGATTGCTTACCGTATGCTTCGATTCCCCCACAGAAATCAATTTGCTTCGTGCGACCGGAGATCGCGTCCAGCCACGAGGATGTGATTTGCTCCTACACGGACATCATTCGCAAGTCGGACTACAAGGTTCGCTTTGGGCGGACACTGCGCATGAAGGAGCCCTATGTGCTGCAGGCCAGCGACTTTGTCAAGGTGGCCTGCCGATCCTCCAGCGGCGAGAGGTGACAACTGACCTTTTTCCCAGTTTTGCACTCACTTTAAAAAGTATTTGTCATGTACTTAGTTGGTTTGGCATGGCCCACGGCATACGAGATACGGTACCCCGTCCCCCGGCCGCCAATTTCTCCCCGAACCTGGCTGTCCTGCCTCCCGAGGCGGTTGCGCAGGCTCAGCAGCAAATGCAGGACGGGTCCACATCTCCCTTCTACAATGTGCTCATGTTTGGGTTCGATTCGCTGAGTCGCAATGCCTTCATTCGTAAGCTGCCCAGGACTTACGAGTATCTCACCCAACAGCTGGGCGCCACCGTTCTCAAGGGCTACAACATTGTGGGCGATGGGACTCCGCAGGCGCTAGTGCCCCTACTCACGGGTTTCACGGAACTTGAGCTGCCGGAGACGAGGAAGCGGTTGTCCGGGGCAGGCAGCGTGGATTCGTATCCCATGATTTGGCAGGACTTTGCTCGCTTGGGCTATTTGACCTCCTTCAACGAGGATCTGCCCAATGTGGGCACTTTCACGTACCGCATGACAGGCTTTGAATCCCAGCCGGTGGACCACTACCTGCGTACCTACTATGTCCAGGCTGAGCACATGGCCGCCGAGAGCCAACCCAACTGCATTGGCCACCAGCCGGATCACATTACCATGCTGGAGTACACCAAAAACGTATGTTGTCTTCCCAAATGCGCTTGGAAACTAACACATTGTATATTTCATTACAGTTTATGCTTAAGTATCGCGATGCCCCGCGTTTCGTCTTCAGCTTCCATGGCGGCTTGTCCCACGATTCTATCAACCTGGTGGGAGCAGCGGATGATGACGTCCATGACTGGTTGGTGGCACTCAAGGAACGATCGCTGCTAGACGACACAATTCTCATCATGATGGCCGATCATGGCAATCGATTTGCCGAGGTCCGGGCCACTCTGCAAGGGAAACAGGAAGAGCGACTGCCATTCTTTAGTTTCGTGTTTCCCGAGTCGTTTAAGAAGCGCTTTCCGCAGCAGTACAACAACTTTGTGGCCAACGAGCATCAGCTGACCACGCCATTCGACATTCACGCCACACTGAAACACATAATACGTATGTACTATTATTGCATATCGCTACAAGATACTAATGTGGCATTTTACACAGAACTGCAAACCGCAGTCGATCAGTTGGGAGAAGTAAGCGATCTGAAAATTGAACCCAGCCAGCCTGGTATTCGCATCTCGGAGCTAGCCCAAGGACGTGCCATGTCGCTGCTGAATCCAATTCCGAGCAATCGATCCTGTGCGGATGCCTACATAGAACCCCACTGGTGTGCCTGCCTCAATTGGCTACCTTTGCAGCTGAACGACTCCCGGTATACGGGCATCATTCTCAAGGCTGCCCAAAGCATTGTCAATGCCATTAACTTGGCCACAGTAGAGCAGCGGCAATACTGTGAGCCCCTGGAGGTTCGATCATACATTTTTCTTTTACATTTCCAGATAAGATAAACGTACTACTTCACTTTGTTTCTTTGTTCAACAGATTCATCGTGTGAACTGGGCGCTGCGTCTGCAACCGCACAAGGAGCTGCTGCAATTTAAGACAAACAGCGACCGGGACGGCTTCCTCGCGGACATGACGGGTCAGACGCTGGTCCGGGACGAGATGTACCAGCTCCAGGTGGTAACGGTGCCCGGCGAGGGGTTGTTTGAGGCGAGTGTGGCCTACAGTCTGCACACGTTCAGTGCCACAACGAAACTCACGGACATATCGCGCGTCAACAAGTACGGAAATCAGGCCCGGTGCATATACGACCGGGATCCGGAGCTGCGGAAGTACTGCTACTGTCGCGACTAATTTGTGCACAAAAAGACCTAGTCCAAATCATAGAAACTGCTAAGCAATCAACTCGAATAGATTTCTGCACTAATTGTAGATTTTTGCCTACTTCTAGCTGTTAAGCGTTTTTTTCCAAAGAATATTGTCACGGTCTCCTTAAGTTAAAAGATCTGCCTCAGTTTGTAATATACGTTCCTTTAATTAACGATAGTAATGAGTTAATAAAAAAATGACATTTTTGTATTTGTAATAAAAAAAAGGTTAGTTTTAATCGAGCAGCGAATACAATTTGCTCAGATATGGGTACAGTTCGGCTGGTTAGTGATTCAACTCAAGCGATTAACTGGTGACTATGCCATTTATGCATACAGTGAAAAACACTTCCTTGTATACTTACGATTACCAATTAAATAGAGCATTTTTGTCGTTCCATATATATATATATATATATCCTCATATATTTCAAGGCTGATGCTAGTCCCGTTCTTAAGTAAGAGTTAATATTTCACTTTTGTTTAGATCGCTTAGGCAGATTAACCGTAGACTAAAATACACTGCGCACATTATTTGGTTATATAGGCCTCTTATCTTAGATAGGTTAACTATAATACTTGAAGTATGATATATTGGGTAAATGTAGGAGGAACTAAAAACAAACAAAAAGTATGTCCGTAAATATCGTACAAAAGTAGTTGTTTATTCGCAAGATTTTAGCAATAGCTTACAAACTTTACCTTTTTGGTGAGTACCTTAAAACCATTAACATAAAATACGGACAGCTGTTGTTAACTGTCATTAAATATAGATATTATTTATAATTATTGCATAGACTTCAATAAACCATTTGCTTATGCGTGTTATAGAGTTTGTTCAAGATCTCCATAAGGGGAACAAGGTTTAAAAGAGGTACACTCTTGGTGTAAACTAGGGGTTTATTAAATTAATGGAAAATATAAAAAAAATAGCGTAGCAAATGCGTAAAACGTTAAAATCGTCTAGATAGAGTCGAATAGGATTCCAAACTAATTTAAGATAGGTCTTAAAAAAAAATGAGTCTTAAAACAAATGAGTCTCAAAAACTAAAGGGCGACTTGAACATTTTCAAAAACGAAATCGGTCGGGTCTTCTAGGCCCCTCGGGCCAAAATCTTACGATCTAGCATGGGAAATTGAGGCTGTGTGCGAGCCAAGTTCATTTGCATTTGGCTTACATCGTTAACGTTAAGATTAATGATTTGGTTATGTGCATGAGGGGTTTGTGCATCGTCTAGCTGTAGAGAGCCGGGCCAGTAGCGGAGGTCAGGGAGTGTCACGAGACCGACGTCGCCAGGAACTCCTGCAGGCGCTGCACGGTGACGCGGTCCAGCTTGCACAGGTCGAAGTCAAACGTCTTGTGCGTGATCTCGTAGCAGCCGGTGGCCGCGATCATCTCCACGACGTGCTGCAACTCCTCGTTGTCCTGCAGGGTCATAATCTTGTGGTGCAGCTCCTGAAGCTCGCTCAAATACTCCGTGGGCAGCTGGAGCTGGCCGGGCGTCGTTAACTCGCCGGGCGAGTGACTGCTATTGCTGTTCATGTTGTTATTATTATTATTTAAGCTAGCCGCTACAGCTGCGCTGTGGTTGTTGCTTGGCGAAGATGACGGCGGAGCAAGGAATACGGATCCCGCATTGGGTGTCCCGGCTCCAGTGCCTGTGGAGTTGGTTTCTCTAGCTGGACGCAACGAGGGCGACTTGGATTTCTCGCCCGCCGCCTTGCTTTGCTCCTTTTTTGAGGCCTTAACAGGGGGTTCTATAAAAGCTCCGGCGACTCCTGCTCCACTCCCACTGTTACTACTTTGTGAGCTCCTTCGATTGCGCTTCTTTTCCTCCTTTTCCGACTTCTCTGACTTTTCCAGTTTGGGGTCCGGAGTCTTGTCCGGCTTTTCCGTTTTGTCACTGTTCTTTTCGAGGTTCTTGTCGCTTTGCTTCGACTTGCCCTTGTGTTCCTTGCCAGCAGACTTCGCCTCCTTGCCGGATGCGTTATTGCCCTTCGTCGACTTCTGCTGGCTGCTACTCCTGGCGGGTAAGTCGGGAAAACTGCTGTTGGAGCTGTCGGAGTGCTGGAGAGTGGCAGCTGCTGCTGCAGCCAGTGCGTTTGTGGCGGCAAGATCCGGAGCCGACTGCGCTGAGTCCATATCGCTAAGATCCAGGTTGCTGGGAGTTTTGTTCTGTGGCTGACCCGACTGTGACTGCTGTTTTCCAGTGTGCTTGGAATCGGCTGGCTTTTCGCCGGTCTCCCGTTGGCGCTTATCATCTTTCCCAGAGGACTTCTCCTTGGACTTTTTGTGCTTCTCCTTCTTGCTGCCGCTGCTAGCACTAGCATTAACAGGGGTCTTCTCCGGGGCCCCTGCCTCGTTAGCAGGACTAGCCCCCTCTAATTTGGGCGATGGCTCGACCGCCGATGACTTCTCGGAGCCGGTCACATGCTGTTTGTCCTTTTCCCTTTCCTTTAGCTTATCTTTGTCGCGCTCCTTGTCTTTGTCCTTGTCCCGATCGTTGCGCTCCCTTTCCTTGTCCTTGCTTTTGTCCTTCTTCTTGTGCTTGTGGGATTTCTTGGTGTCTGTCGCATTTCCATTGCTTGTGCTCTTATCAGCCTTGGAGTCTGACGCCTTTTCGGAATGCTTTCCCGTAGCCTCCTCTTTTTGCTTGCCACTGCTTGAGACCACACTGCTGCTGCTATTGCTGCCAACCGATGTGGGCGTGGCCTTACCGGTACTGGCCACCTGGGATTGCTGCTGCAGGTGGGCAGATTGTAGATTTCCGCCAGCCGGACTATCGGACTGGCCAGGACGCTCTTCTTTGGGCATTCGCTTGTCTTTGCTCTCATCACGCTGCTTATCGCGGTCGCGGTCACGCTCCTTGTCCTTATCCTTTTTGTCCTTTTTGGATTTCTTGCTGGAGTTCCGCTCCTTGTCCTTGGACTCGGACTTGACGGACTTATGCTCATCGCGCTCTTTGGAACGGGAAGCAGGTGCCACCGCACCAGCGGTTAAATCATTTGCCGTCTTCTTGGGACTGGGCGCACCCATTTCGTTTGGCTTTCCAAGCTTTGGGCTAGCTGTGTGTTTAACCAATCCTCCAGCTGTGCCCAAAGAAGTACTCACCGTGAGGGCACTGGCGGTTGGGGTGTTGCCTGAGCTTTGCTCGCGCTCACGCTCCTTGTCTCGTGATTTATCCTTTTTAGACTTTTCCTTATCCCGTTCGTGCTTGCCATCGCCGGACTTGCTGGACTTTCGGTCTTTGTCGCGACCATGCCGATCCTTCTTGTCCTTTTCGCGCGGCTTGTCTCCACCGCTGGATTTATCCCGATCCTTGCTCGCCTTCTCCCTGCCCTCGTGAAAGCCACCCTTGCCGCCGACGGCTGCGGTTTTGGCCTCCGGAGAGTGCTTGGAGACAGGTACCTGGGCCATGTTGTTGGCCGTTACGGTGGTCTTGGTGATGGGCGGACCGAAGAGGGCAGAGAAGGCGTTGCTCTTTCCGGGATCCTCGCTGCGCGACTTGTGTTTCTTGCCGGTATTCAGATCCACGTTCATGGAGATTGTACCAGGTACGCCTTTGGCTTTGACACCAGCCATCTCATTACTGTGAGCCGTCTCACCGCTGCCAACGCTGGGCGAAAGCGTTCGGGCGAGACTACCGGCACCGATGTTAGCTCCGAACACTGGCACTCCACCGCCTCGCATAAGTTTCGTTCGAAACTCCTCCGACGGGGCTTCGAAAATGTGCGTCTTCACCTCGACGTGGTGCTGCGGTGGACCCGTGGACTGCAGTACCAGGTCGTACTGGTAAACAATGCGCTTGGGTTCGTCGCGGTTGCGAAAGTAAATCTCAACAGGCAGTAGGAAGCCAGCGTAGCCGGACTCCTGAATGGCATACGGCGGTTCCTTGACCACTGCAAATGAACAATTGGCGTAAAAGAGTTAATCCGACTATACTACAGCTGTATGGCATAGGAGCGTTTACCTCGTTTGGGTTTGAGAAAGGATTCGTGCAGCACAAAGACAACTTTCTCCACAAAGGCACTGATGTCCGCCTTGTTTACGCCCTGCACATAGATCTCCCAGTCGTGCGTAAAGCCCTGCGGTGTCTTCTTGCTGCGCAGCTTCGACGTGTGGCCAATTTCGAATTGCACCTTGACCGCCATGCCTGTGGGTAGGGCATCAAGTTCCAGTGATTGCCTGCAATTAAGTTGTCAATTGAGATACTATGTACTATTAGCGCGCCAAAACCAATGAAACTGGGCTGTCTAGCTCCTAAGCTGTTTACGATGTAAACAAATAACTGACAGTTTCGTAGCACGGCCCAATAGATTATTAAACGAGGTGTCTTCCAATTATTAAGCTCCTTGCTTTGGCTTCTCAGGGTGCATGCGTGATATCCAATGCGACTCCTGCCGCAGGTCACGTCCTCCAAGTTCGCGCCCGGCTTCGGAAACCTTCCAGCTGTCCTCAGGAACTTCCCACTGGCTGGCACCGCTCCAAAATCCTCCGAATGCCGACGTTATTTGTTGTGATGCCCCTTGCGAGCATTTTGTTATTGTTTGAGTGCGAATGTGTGCCACAATGTGGACTTTTCATGTTGCAAGCTTTCGCCGTGTTCGTGTTATCCTCTTGCCACATGCCCCGCAAGTGGCACTTTCTACTTACTATCGCGCCGTGCGGCATTCGCATGGAGGTGCGCACAATTTTCAGGAAAACCGCAAAAGCTGTGAGCCAGAATCGGAAGAAATTTTGGAAAAACACATAGAAAATAAAATCCAAAATGTTAAAGTGTGACCAAAGCTCAGGGGACCGCGAAATCCCCTAGAGTCGGGTAAAATATACTAGAATATACCGCAAAGTGTGTCGGGTATACGTTTTGTAGGGTGATTCGTGAAATTAGTTTCAAGCTTACACCGTTTAAATGTACCGTTTGGTTATTAACTATGCTATTTCGTAATTTTGGTGTTTTTCTACTTACCAGCTGGTGGTAAATTTTTTCACAACAAAACAAGAAAATGTTATATGTTTATACATCCTTAAATACAATACAAATATACATTTATATACATCTTGACATGGGCTTTAAAACCATTACTAAATCTGCTCAATTCCAAGAAATATCTTATATCTTATATTAAACAATTTTTAATGAGAATACCTTTGCATTCGAATATTTACTGAAACTCGTCATGTTTGAAATTCGGGAACGCGCATAAACCTAATAGTTCGCAAAAGCTTCTGTGTTGCGGA